AGATGTGTATAAGATCGCAGGGGTACGCACAGGCCAAGCTAATCCTGAAGGAACAGTTTGGACAGCCACATCTGATTGCAAGGGCCCATTTAAAGAAGGTTTTGAACCGACCCCAAATTAGACCTAATGATGGTACTGGAATATGGGACTTAGGCAGAGATATGAGAAGATGCCAAACTGTGCTTGAACAAATGTCTTATTCTGCAGATATGAATAGTTCTGACACCCTTCTCAAAGTACAACAACTACTACCACTATACCTCCAGACGAAATGGGCTAAGAAAGCTCAATCGGTTATGGAAGCAGATATGGCACCTGACTTCAAAGACATGACAACCTTTATCGAAGAAGCAGCTAGATTGGCAAATAACATGTTTGGCCAAAACATGGGGAAGTCTCCTAGGCGAGAGCAAGTGCAACCCATTAAGAGTAAGTCTGCGAGATCAACTTTTGCTGTCAGGGGAGAAGATGTGCGCAAGCAAGATACTTCAACGGCGAAATGTCCAGCTTGTTTGGGAGAACACCAACTTGAGAAGTGTGATGTGTTCGGTAAAGCTAACCCTAGGGAGAGGCTACAAATTGTACGGAGAGGAAGGCTATGTGACAACTGCTTTGGGAGATCACATTTTGCAAGAGAGTGCCGTAAAGATTCAAACTGCCTGGTTAATGGATGCAAATGGAAACACCATGCTCTTCTGCATAGAGGTGAAGCAACACACAATATGACAAATCTTTCCACCATTGTACGTGGCAAGGTGTGCCTCAGGCTACTGCCAGTAAGTGTTGCTGGTAATGGAAGGAAGGTTATGACCTTGGCGTTACTCGATGATGGCAGTGAGGTTACATTGTGTGACCATCGGCTAGCACAAAGATTAGGTATAACAGGCAGACAAAAGGAATTTCATATGACTACAGTGGGCCAGGAAAATGTAAAGGTCAAAGGAATTGAACTAGAAGGTCTAACAGTTACTGGACTACATCAAAACGGAACCAGTTATTCTTGACTCGGTATGGACTGTGGAGAACTTACCAATCACAGAACGTAGTATGCCGAAAGAGGAAGACACAAGAAAATGGAAACATCTTGATGGAATTAAATTCCCTTGCATAAAGGATAAAGAGGTGATGCTACTGATAGGAAGTGATGTGCCAGAGGCATTCTGGGTAATAGAAGAGGGGCGTGGTGGTAAGAAAGAACCATATGCAACAAAGTCACCATTCGGGTGGACGTTAATTGGACCAACCAATTCAAAGCAAGGTAGACCCAATTTCAAGGTGAATTTTGCTCGACGTGGTCACGGTGATGATCAACTTATGGAACAATTGGAGAGATTTTGGAAGACAGATAGCAGTGGATCTGTTTTTGAAGATATCGAGTTAAGCGAATCGATTGAAGACAAGAGAGCAAGGGCTTGTATGGAAGAGTCAACAGTTAAAGTAAATGGTCACTACCAACTCGGGCTTCCATGGAAATATGATGAACCAATCTGACCAGACAATAGGAAGATGGCAGATAAAAGACTACAGTGTCTGAAGGGGCGTTTCATGAGAGACAAAGCGCTTCATGAAAGTTATTCTACTACGATGGCAGACTACATAGATAATGGGTTTGCAGAGGAAGTGAAGGCCAAGCAACCTGTTGTAGAAAGGAAAGAAATAATGTCAAACAAGACATGGTTTCTACCTCATCACCCTGTGATAAATCAACATAAGCCTGGCAAAGTTCGGATAGTGTTCGACTGTGCCGCCAAATATAAAGGTGTATCACTCAACAGTCAACTATTGAGGGGTCCAGATTACACAAATAACCTGGTAGGGGTTTTAACCAGATTTCGTCAAGATAAAGTAGCGCTGGTCGCTGATATACAATCTATGTTTCATCAGGTAAAGGTGTCCCCTGAAGACTGTGGCGCTCTTCAATTTCATTGGTGGCCGAATGGAAACTTCACGGAAGAACCCAAAGTGTATCGGATGCTGGTACATCTGTTTGGTGCCACATCCTCACCAAGTTGTGCAGGATATGCGTTGCGGAGAACAGCAGCTGACAATGAATCAGAACATAACGTTGCAGCAGTAGAAACTGTAAGAAATAACTTTTACGTTGACGATTTTTAAAAATTGGTTAAAACTACTGAGGAGGCTATTGAACTGTCTAGTCAGCTAAGGGGGGATTCAGATTGACTAAATGGCTTAGCAACGATTGTCAGGTTCTAGAGAAGATACCCAAGTCAGAAAGAGCAGCAACAGTATTTAACTTGGACTTACAGGAGCTACCAGTTGAGCGAACACTAGGTGTTTCATGGAACGTGGAAACTGATAAATTCACATTCAACATCAAGGTTAAAGAAAGGCCAAACACGAGAAGAGGTATCCTTTCTACAACAAGTTCTGTGTACGATCCTTTGGGA